ATGGTTGCTAATGTCTAATACATAGCCTAATGATAAAGTTTCCGAGCCAACCCCCCCCCCCCCCCCATTTAATAAACATTCAAAACCTGGATGTAATTTGTAAATCTTCAATTTTTAAAAAAAAAAAAAGAGAAAATTGAATTTTTTTAAAAATTATTAACTTTTTAATAATTCACAATATTAACTTTAATATCAGAAGAGTTTTTATTTATTTTATGATTGGATTTAAAAATTAAAACCAGAAAAGAAAATGAAAACAATTAATTTTTTGCCTTGTTACTTTAAAAATTATTTTGCTGTATTTTTTATCAGATATTGTTGCGTTTTTTCGAAAAATATAACAAAATGTTCCCCCCAGTTAAGATTTCCCAAGGTTTTGCCTGATTTTCAAAATTATTCCCCAGATCCCAAGGGGGGTCGTGAATTCCCAAGATCTTGGGAAATTTCCCAAGGTGTGGTAGCCCTGGTTGTTAGTATTAAGAATTAACCATTTGATTGGTTAATTTCTTAAAATATAAAATTGTATTTCAAAAAATATTCAAGAACAAAACTGCATACTCAACATTCTCATCATAAAGCTTTTACGGTTTATTCTAAAATCTTTAAAATTTATATGCAAAATTTATAAAATAAAATTTTCAGCTTATTAAAATGATATCGAAAAGTTTATTTAGGTTATACGAGATGGAAATTATTACTGTTATTTTATTGTTAAAACTACGTTTTAAAAACCACTTTTCCTTTCGTTTTCAATGTGTGATTTCCGGTTAAATAGATACTGGAAATTGAGTGATGAGTGTGGGCTAAGGCTAAGGCTCACTCAATAGTCAAAATATGAATATGTCGTTATCGGATGTAACTCGAACAGTACAGCTAATCAGTGGCCATTTAATGCCGATTATTGGGCGTGAGACATAAATGATGATTCAACTTATTTAAATGCAAATTTGATTAACTTCAACCAAATTTTTAAACTAAAATTAAAATAATTTACTACTACTAGTACTAATTACTATTACTAGTCTAACTAGTACTAACTAGTCCTAATAATCTAAGTTATAATATAAACTAGTTATATAGTTATAGTAAATAAAGTCTAACTCTAAAATATAGTTGTAATAAAAGCTATTTATCCCACTCCTTAAATCATTTACAATAGTATAAATACTATTATAATACTATTACTAAGTCAAAGTTAAAGTAAAGACAAAACACAAGTCAAATTCAAATGCTTATGACTATGAAATGCCTCATCAATTCCCCCCCCCCCCCTCCACCTGATATTTCATAAGCCAATAATTAATAATTATTTCAACTCTTTCAGCACCCCATTACAAGGCACTGTGCACATATTAAATATAACTTGAAGGGGGTAGAGGGGTGGTTTATCATTTTTTAATATTGTGTAATGTGGGGTAGGCCGGGTAGGGTTTGGTAGAGAGTAGGCTAATGTTACTAACAATTCTTTTTATTTGTTTTTTAAAATTAATGTGCTTTTTTTTTCAAAATGTCTGATTTACAAAATTAGCCCAGATTATTAAAAAACTAAATGCATTTTTTGCTCAGCACATATAAAAAATATAATTTGGGGCTTTTTGATTGAAATTTGCTTGTTTCTGCTTTGTTTTGGAGTTTATTCATTTTTATCAGGGTGTTGGGTGGGAGGGGGTGTTGCTAGAATTGTTATATACATTTTAGGGGGTGGTCAATAGAAATGTTATTCAACGTTATTATAAGGGGTAGGGGTGTGTCAAAAATGTCATCTTTTTTTATTACCGGGTTATGTAATATTTGCACAGCACCTTACCCAGAATAGTCTACGAGAACAAACTTTTTACTTATGTATCAACATCCTACCAGAGTGACTCTTAAGAGTCTGATAAATGTTTTCAAATTGGCCCAAATTGCCCCCAAGGTGTTACAAATATAGGGGTTTTATGTAAAAAGCAGTTTTTATATAAATTACATGGAAGTGGCTACAGAGTAAAATTAAATACTAAAATGGCTCACATTTAAAGAAAGATAAACTCTGAGAATGCTAATCTAGAATAATCAAGATACTAACTAAATAATGAATATTTAAAATGTAATATATGAAATTAGATTTGATTATCAATAGTGTTGTGTGAATTAATGTGACTATTATCCCCTTTTAAAGCCCACGGTTCCAGAGATCATTTCTTATTTTTACTATCTTGTATTATATTGTGATGCTTTAAGCTATGGAGTTAAGAAGTAATGTGTTCTGTCATCTGTGTCCATTAACCATTTAACTGTTATTTATTATATTTGTTTTGTTTATTTTTATTGCTGCTTCAGTTGGAACATACAAAATGCATGGATATGAAGTCCTGTATAGATCTGTTGATGCTGCACTAGTTGAAGGTTATCGTTCCTTTGGTAAGTAAAAAAAAAGCCATTTTGATTTCTATTTTTGACTTGGAGCACTGATCACTGGCTAAAATTTCATTACCAAATGTAACATGGAATACTAATACTAATGAAAATCGATGGCGGACAAAATGTATCTGTTACGCACTGACTTGTATAGGGAGAAATTAATCTCCTATTTTAATTTTAATTTGCTCGTTGCAAGCAGTACCTAACAAAGGACGATACCATAGAATCAACAATATTAAAGATACGACCCAAAACAGTTTCTAGTTACAATTAATAAGATTTATTATGTCTTAAGATAATTACCAAAGAAAAGAAAATATAATTACAATCTTCAACTTACAGTATGGTAGATCTTGTACCGGTACACAGTTAATACAATTAGAATAATGTGCCAATGAATAATGCGAAATAAACACATATAAGCTCACAAATACACAAAGAATAAAACACGCCTCGTAATGTTAAGAAAATCTATCTGAAATCTCCGTCCTCGTCTGTGCCTGTCAATCCCTTATATAGGTGGGTCTACCGACACCTAAGCCCTGCCTTCGATAAGCTACATGGCATTTCTAGAACAATCAGATTCATTCTACAAAATACTACTTGGAACAGATTAATTATTTTTAGTAGCTGGCGGCATAAACACGAAATAGATCAAAGGCCTAAGCCACACCCCTTTGTGAACACAGCGTCTCATGCTGGGTCAATCATAGGGCACGCACAAGAAAAATTATGTAAACAAGCTCTCTTTAACAGTATCCCTGTTTGAAAGTATTTATATCAATAAATGAATTGCAGATAATAAAGTTTTGTAAATACTAAGACTTCATGTTTATAATTTACATTATCTCTGGGGCAGGAGTGGTGAACTTTTTCACAGCTGAAGACTCATGTTACTTTTGGAAATAATGAACAGGCCACATCTTACCATCTTTTCTTGGGAAATAATCCCCATGGAATATATAAATTTATTTTATCGCACACTTTGTGTAACAATAACTTATAGTTTTATAATGTAATGTTATTATTATCCTATAAGTAAGATTCGTTGCACTTGATCTCTAAGTGATGATCGTGTCATTCTATGGCAAGTAACACAGGCAAAAATACATAGTCTGGGCAAACCCCAGAATCAAATTTTCCCTAGTCAGCCAATCCCAATTCTCCATAAGCAAATTTTTATTCGGTTTCTTAAACAGAGTTGGGAAGATGATTACGGGAAAATATTTAAGGATCTTAAATAATAGAGAGTTCATTGAAAATTATTAATTAATATATTAGGCTCCATAGAACTCTAAGGAATTGTGTAGGAAGTGGGAGGGGGGGTTGTATAAATTCGGCAAAAAGCTTTGCCTGCACTGGGCGGCATTTACCCTAGATATGCCTGTGACTCTAAGGATCAATTTATTAAATTCTTTTACTAATGATATTGACCAATTTGATCCACACTTTTGGCCATCTCTTACACTGCAAATTTCTTTTAAAACCATTGTCCTCATTTCAATTTTTTTATGAATTTAATTTATGAGCCTACCCAACGATATTCTACTTTTCTATTTTATACTGTTTTCTTATAAACTTTCACACATACGTTAACAATCCAAACGGTTTAAATTAATTGTTTAACTCTTGAATTCTATTGCCTTCTACTATTTATGTTCATTTTATAGAAAAATAGAATGTCTATTATATTGTATTTAACATTGTACAATTGTAGACTATAAATTTTATTTCAATTTTTTAATCTTAAATGTTTTTTCTTGTAAACAGATACTGCTGCAGTATATAGAAATGAAGCAGACCTTGGAAAAGTCTTTAAAGAACTTCTTCCTAAATATAATCTTCGAAGGAAAGATATCTTTATTATCACTAAATTGGGTAAATTATATATTTTATGTGCACATTCATTGTTTTGTGCTAAAGACATCTTTATAATTTAAGTTATAAATATTCAATGGCATCTCTAGTTATAGTTATTGAATATTAGCATAAAGATAAAATAAGTCACTTGATTAATACAGGGCACTCTTTTGTTATATTTATTGAATCATTTAAATTTCCAGAATGGCATAAGAAGTCATGGAAATGATCAAATCAATTAACTTCCTTTATGTATTGCACCACACCGGATTGATTAATTTTTTTCTAAATTTAAAGTTTCAAGCAAATAAACTCTCATTAAAATGTATGCAAATACTTAGATCAAAGGTGAATATTATCTAACAGGTCCCGGGGATCATGGGAAAGGCAAAGCAATGGCTGCTTGTTTAGCCTCTTTAGAACGACTTGACTGTCTGTATTTAGATCTCTACCTGATTCACTGGCCTGGTGCACAGACACTATTACAAGATGATCATAGGCAGAAGCAACTCCGCAAAGAAAGTTGGCTTGATATGGAGGAAGCTCAACGTCAAGGTGAAGAGCCCCAGCAAATACAAGTTATTCTGTTTAAAAAATGTATATACCATCAACAGAAGTTTTACTCCTGCTGTTTTTTTTAAATGAGAGGCCTAATATTTTATCTTAATTTTTAATGTAGTTGATTATTTTTTTTTTTAACACTGGTCTAGTAATTCCATAGATTGTATGCTAGTATAATCAGTAACTTATCTACAGGTCTAATCTCTTAAATATTTTTTTATTTTTTTAAAACACACCTGTAAAGATTTTTTTTTTAATTAATACTATACACTAAAGAATCTTAGGTTGTTGTTTGCACCAATCTCAGGAGCCAGAATATATTTTGAGTGTTATTCTCAGTTTGCACTCACTTTCTCACTCAGCAGTGGCTTTTCTAATTGTATTATAGTTATAGGTCAGCAACCTCAATAACACCCCCCTCTTCCTCTCCTGGAGGGTTGGAGGACCTTAGTTGTTTTTTTCCTGTGAAAATAACCACAACTGTAACCCCAAATGGTCAACCCCTGTTGTGTTTGAGCATTAGTCCTATCACTGCACATATTCAGGCTCTTCATTGTCACATGGTCTCCATATTTCCTTTCCTTTTTATAACTATTTTATTTTAGAAGTTTTATTCTTTTTGTATTTTAAATTGCCCTTTCCTTAATTTTACAACACACACAAAGAAACAGGCAGTAGAATGTTGTAAAAACAACAACAAGAAATCACTTGATGGTTAAAATCTAATACCATAATGTCTTATTATAGCCATAATAATTAATATTCTCATTTAAAATAATTGTAAATTTTTACTGGTTTGCCTTTAAAAAAACCTCAAATTTCCAGTGTTATAACAGATAATTTATTTGCTACCAAAATACGTATTAAGTTACTAACCTTCTTCAAAAAAGTTTACATAAAGGAATAATTCTCTTCATGAAATAAAACTGTTAAATGACCTTGCTTTCTTTAGCTCTTTTTAAACCACATGGCTCAAGTGCAGTCTGACTCCTGATCTGCATGTATACCTCAAATGGCTTGGCATGTATTTAACCCTGCTCTGGTACCATGGGGTCTATTTGACCCCAGCCCTCTGGACGGTGTTTTTTTAAAAACTATCACGAGTAGTGACCTCGCCTGCTAAGTATGTTATCGTAAGGCCTTCCTAAGTATGTGACACATGTTCAATAGTTTCAAACTATTTCCAATTATCTATTATTTAGGTTTATTTTCACTTGGGGTCAAATTGACCACATAGTACCCTCAATGTAGTGTTATGTATGACACATTTCCCCATGCGTGAACTTTGCAGTTGCGGCATTGTACCAGAGGCACGAACACCATCCTGAAGCAACGCACAGCCTCAGTCAGAACAACGCAAGAAATGTTATATTTGTCCCAGATCCCATGACAAGAAAACCAAACTAGTCTGTCACGAGTGCAATAAGTTTGTGTGCGAAGAGCATACCAAGCGATTGTGCAATCAATGCCAACAGTGAACATTTTGCACATGAAATACTGTGAAATATTTATTTGGATTTTATAACACAATGTTATATTGAAATATTTCTTTGGATTTTATAACACATTGTCATACCATAGTATGTCAAGGAAAACAAAATATTCTAATAAAGTGCTGTTATTCTCGTCATATAGCATGTTTTTCTCCATGGGGTCAAACTGACCCCATAGTATTAGTACCAAATGTGTGACTTTTTTCATGGTACCAGAGCAGGGTTAAAGCTGGTAAAATATTTCTATCCTTAGGAAAAATTAGATCCCTGGGAGTCTCCAACTATATGCCTAGACACATTGAAGAGCTAATCAGTTACAGCAATGTGAGACCATCTGTACTGCAAGTATGTTTAAAAAATAATTAAAATAAACAACTTGATTTTTCCATGAACATGCAATAGTCTAAATTGTAAGAAAATTGTATTCTTCATGTTGCTTAAATACTTTATTGAAATTAAAGTTTCTATAGTGATGTACTACAGAATTTATAAACAACATTAATATGTGTATCTCTAAATTGATATTAGTGACATGAATGCCTCATTATTTTTTTTATAGCGAACTTGATACAATTTCTGTTGTTAGATTGAGTACCATCCTCACCTGATCCAGAATGAGGTGAAAGAAGTTTGTGACAAGTATGGCATTCACCTTCAAGCTTACTCTTCTTTGGGAACAAGTAGTCACCATAACAAAGTTGGTTTCATGGCCATATTAATTGTCTGTAGTAATTATAATAATAATAATTAGTGGTCTTTTATAGCGCTGTATCCCAGCCTAGGGCTGGGCTCACCGCGCTGTACATAAAAATATTATCAAAAGAGACATAATCATGACATTAAAATAAAATACAGTTATGAAGTAAAGAACAGCATGAACCCCAGGACTTTTACAAGCTAAACCATGGACGGCAGCCAACAAGATCATTTAAATATATATGTTGTTTGATTATTTGGATTCCACTATAAAAAATTTCTGTGGGTCTTGGGTTAAGAATGATAATGGATTTAACATTTCTAAATTCTTTGAAATTTCAAAGTACAGTATGCTCTATAATTATAATGGAGCCATATAGTACACCTCAATAGCCTCCCTTGCTACTTTATATAACCCATGCAGCAGCACTTTCCCTTAAACTTAAATGCTGTTTTTTAAATTCTCTATAAAAAAAGTTAAATCCCAAACGACTTTAAAGAGCATGCTAACACTGTTTCTCCCCCCCCCCCCCTTTTGGAATCAGTTTTTCACAAATATTTCCTATTTATTGTGTCTCTAATTTTATATAACCCATGCAGCAGCCCTTTCCCTTAAACTTAAATGCTGTTTTTTAAATTCTCTATAAAAAAAGTTAAATCACAAACGACTTTAAAGAGCATGCTAACACTGTTTCTCCCCCCCCCCCCCTTTTGGAATCAGTTTTTCACAAATATTTCCTATTTATTGTGTCTCTAAATAACTAACAATACCAATACTATGTCAGCCTTAACAAAGAACTCAGTGCATTTCTTTATGTGTGTTTACCCAGCTTCTAATTAACCCAACTATTGTGGAAATCGCACGCCAATTAAAGAAATCTCCAGCTCAAATTCTACTTCGATGGGCTATCCAACAAGGTGTAGGTAAGAAATCAGCATTCACTCTTTTCAAATTTTTAAACTGATAAACAGTTGATTGTTGTGTGACAAGTTACTTCTACTTCTATCAAATGTAGTCCCAGTAGCACAATGGTAATGTCTACCTCTAAACCAAGTAGACATTAAATTCATCCAGTGTGCATATATATATGCAAAGAAATGCTAATTACCATTAAATATCTGCAGATGGAATAATTTCAGAATGTAAAAAAAACAACAAAAAAACCACTTCTACTTCAATAAAATACATTTAATTTTTATGGAATGTGTATATAAAATAAAGGACTTTAATCATTTATAAATTACCAATTTTTTTTAAATTTCAGGAATTATTCCCAAATCAGTTAATCCAGTGCACATAAAGGAGAACATGGATATTTTTTCATTTTCAATTCCAAGTGACCAGATGCTTAAGATTGCAAACTTGGACAACCAAACCCATTATTGTTGGAACCCTGCCAGCATTATCTGAACGAAACATTCTATTTCTATTCCGTGCAGACTACAGGATTTTTGTTTGAAAAATGATCCCTATAGTGAAAAACTGAGCTAGAAGTTAGGTGGTCTAGAGTACAGAGAATAGGGCTGGACAGCAGCAAAGCTTTAAGTATAAAGTTACACAAATCATGTGTAAAAACAAGTAACATGGGGCTCTATTTACGAAAGATCGACATACTGATTGGTATGTCCTACCACCTTCTGAGTGGAAAAAAATAGTTACACAAACTTAAAGAAGGTAAAAAAAAATTTACAATTAGTTATAACAGCAGACATAAAGTAAAATTTTTTTACTGAAATAAACATAGTAACAACTTTGAAAGAAGAGGGTATTTAATGTGGAATCATTTATTACTATAGTGATACATGCTTACCTTTCACAAACTTTCCACTGCATTTAGTTTATTAATATTTTAACATTGTTACATTTGATAAATAGAGCAAGGTAATAAACTCAAATGTTTTCAATGCATCTTGATTTATTTATTTTCTTTATGATATTCCTGTTTAGTTTCTGAAAAGTAAACTTTATATTTATTATTTTTATTACGTAAGTTGTTTACAAACCAAGACATAGAGTCTTATATTTATAATTATGTCATTAACCCCTCTAATCTGAGTCCATCCCAAGTTAATGGACTGGAGATCAGTCCCCAGAAAAAGCCTAGACAAGCAAAAACAACACCAGCACCCGGGGGGAATAGGACTGGTTAACGTTGGATGGCAACTCATCGAAGAGAAAGCTAACTCTGAAACCAAACCAGGAGATTGAGTTTCGTAGGCGGTATGACAATGGCACAACAAAAATTCTGAAAACTCCTGCGATGTGGAGCCCATAACGAGCACAGTGAGACACAAGAAACACTGCTGGTCATCTAATGCATTCTGGTCTATTTCCAGTCGTATCGTCTTTGCCATTGGATCAATTAGGCAAGGACAAGAGAGTGAGGCTGTCAAATTGAGCAACTCTCCTTGAATTAAAAGAAAATACAGCTTAAGTCAAGGCTACTACTCAAGTCAAAGCCTTGCTCATCTTCGCCTGCGAAGAATAAATAATAAATAACTCTTCCAGAACAATTCATCTGAGTCCCTTAGTGTTGGCAGTGGCAGGATATCCCTACTTACTCATTAGTGTAGACAGGTGCAGATATCCTTTCATTTCCGCCCCCTTCACAAAAACAAAAAAACTCTGCAGTTGTCCATAAATGTCCCCCATCAATTTCAATATAAATAATAAAAGTACTGCCCTCTGCCTGCCCCACTGTCTCGACTCCTCCTCCCCCCCCCCATCCATTTAAATGGTGAGAATTATGAGGACAAGGATATTTAACGAAGTCACCATAACCTGTGTTAAAAAGTGTTGTGTGGATTTTCTCACATTTTTGACACTACAGCCTGCGTCACATGTATTTTACCCCCCGGGTTGTGGGACCAAGGTTAACATCACTTTGGGGATGGTGTCGGTGGGTCGTCGAGTTCACACTCATAATACCCCCCCCCCGGCACTCCCCCAACCGGGCCAGAGCCGAAGCTCCAGACCGTTCGGATGCACGCCAGGAACCTCCCTCCTGGCCTGAGGGACGTCCGGCGGACCGAGGGCACTGCGTTTAAAGCGTCCGTAGTCCACTCTCCTATGGGTCAGGACGGCTTTACTTCCTCTACGGAGAGGTGGTGTTGCGTTACCACTCCCCACTGCCCAGGGAGCTGTCCGGTCGGGACGTAGTGGGGACGAAACGGTCGCCTAAGGGCGGCTTTCTCAGGGCCGCGTCTTTTTAATCATTGACAAGGGTTTGGGCGGCCACCCATTGCCTCATACCCATCAACGGCAACAGTAATCATGTTAGCGCTTAGAACTTCCGTTGCGTAGGAAGTCATGCGATTGACTGGGATTTTTTAGCTTCAGAAGGAAAACTCCCCCCTACTAGTCGGTCACGCCACGAAGAGGCAAAATCCCATGTAACACCACTCGAGCAAGTGGTGCTGAGCATCGACCTCACAGAGCTCATTCAGGCAGACTTGTTGCGCAAAATCAACTTTGATGATGTACTTAAAAACTTTGCCAGACGTAAATCTAGAAAAAAGAACTTTAAAATGTAAATGTGTGCTCTCTCTGGCTTTCTTATCTATCAAAAGAGTTACAGTATTTTTGTCTACTATTATTACAAAATTAATTAACTATTAATGGTAATAAAGAAATACCTTATTGTAGGTTTTATAATAGTGATAGTAGTACAAATATATGTGTTTACATTAATTTCACAACTATTTTTCTTTGCTAGTTTTTTTGCATAATATTGAACATACCAGCAGTCAGTGGAGGATCGGGGGCCCGGGGCAGTAGGGGACACCCATGTGGGTTTGTGCCTAGGGCAACAAGATGGCTTAATCCGGCCCTGATTGGGAGTGTGGGTCGTAGGGGGCGATCCGCCCTGTGCGCCATTTCCAGGAAAGTTCAGAGTTTTGACGTAAGGGGAGATGGTAAGAATCTTGGCCCTGCCCCAGGCGGTACTAACACTTCTAACTTATACCCCAATGGCTGTCTCTAAGTTAAAATATTACTTGTTGACGGGGCCGTTGCTGAGTTATCCAGCGCCTGCCAGCAATATATATTATTATATTGGAGCCTCCTCCATAACTAAGGTACCCACTAAAGCGTCTGTGGCTGTGGTGTTTGAAGGCCGTGCAGCACTGGCCAACAGGATGACATTTCTTTGACATACTATAGAATTAATCATAGATATAATAACTTATAAATTAATTATACAAAAGTTATAGCCTTTGAAAATAATTAGAAATCGTAGATTTTCACAGATTTTTAGGTGACAGCTGTCACGTCATGTGTCACACGGTTTAGATATATGATAGAATTAAATTATAATAAAAAGGTCAATTATGGACTGACAGAATATTGCAAAACTTGTGAATAAATGTACGTGCTTATTCTGAGGACACTCCCATCTCCCACCCCTCGAGCCGACAGGGCCGTATTGCCCTAATGTAACCGTAATCAAGTATCAAAAATACTGCCTCAAACCCTAGGGCGTACATAATATATTATTTATGTAAGGCCCTTACTTGAGATCCACCCCCCCCCCCCCCCCCCCCCCC